AGTATTGTTATGGAATGCTAAATCTATAAAGGATTTTTTTTTCTTGATAATACTATATTCTATTTCTATATATCCTAAAGAATTAAAATGTAAAACAAAAATTAATTTCTATTTCATTTATAAAATATAATAGATTATTTCTATATTTGTTTCGATATAAAGGAATGAGAATATATGTTTTGGTTGGTAAATCTAAAATATATTTACGATATATCAATATAATAATTTAAATTATTAAAAAAAGATTTGTTCGTGAGTTAGCTCGCGGTTCGTCTGAGCTGACTCATATGACTCGCCAGTTCATTTAAACTCGATCACTTAACTCGTTTATTAAATGAGTCTTAAAAACATAGTTCGCACTCGTCAAAATCCGAACTGAGTTGAGTCAGCTTATGAGCTAATGACTCGTTTGACATCCCTATTTTACACCCTCGTATTTTTCCTTTAATCCCATAGTAGGTTAGGCTATGATTGAGTATGATCAAAGATATGAATAATTTACAAATGGTAAATGAGAGCAATGTTGATATTATTGGGGGAATGCGAATTTCGATGAAATAAGTAATCGAATATATGATTAGACTCCCGAGACCGGAGGCTTTGGGTTTCACTAATCAAATAATTAGGCGCACCTAATTGGCTTTATCGCTTAGCTGGAGTCTACTGTCCACTCTCTACCATATTATTAAATTATTTGTATTCTTATTTAAGCGAGGCTACATTATCAAATTTCTATTCGAATCATTTTGAATTTTATAGTATGGTTTCATGAACCGGATAAATTATTTTCATCATAATTTTAGATGCTTGATCATGTGGGTTACAAACACTTCCTAAGCACCAGAGAATTTAGTTTTTTCACTCGTAAACGATGATTCTCACATGACCCATGTTATAATTCGACTCCATTGTCGGAATTAATCAGTTGCGAGGGGGAAGAACTATTTTTTTTTTTACGTGTCGTGAGGCTGATGAGAAGTGGGGTACGTACGTGTGTCTTAATGGATTTCGTACGTGTCTAATAGTTAGGCATTGCTTTGAAGCTATAGAATTGCTTGTCCCTTGAGTGCCTACTCAAAAATGACACAACATTGTGCGGTGCTTTGTGACTACTGACTACTATCATTAATTATTAACCTAGTTTACACATTTAAGACTACAATAATTATTTATCAACCTAATGTCTATTTAATAAAATTTTCTAGATTCGTCGGATTTAACCGTTACAATGGGATCGGAGCATCGAACCACATTTGTCGGATTTTTTTTTTTTTTGGTCAAAACCACATTTGTCAGATATGCGTACATTATAATCAATGTATTTTTTGTACATTCGTCGTAATCAACCTTCACAACGGGAGTACGATACGAACCACATTTGTCAAATATGTAACATTATATTTTAAACTTTTAAAAAAATTCTTAACGTCATGAGAGAAATTTGGATACTGCTCTTAATTTACTGATCACAATCAAGCATTCCACCATTGGACAAATGAGGCTCTTACGACCATTGGCAAGGATTTAGGCAACCTAGTTGAATGGGATACAGTCCATTGTAAAGTAAGGGTTGAGGTTAATGGTCTTAAGCCTCTTGAAATGAAGCTACCAATAATGCTTCCATCAGGAGAAGTCAAATCTGTTGATTTGGTCTATGAGAGGCTTCATAAGCATTGCTTTGTATGCTTCTCCCTAAGTCATGAAGAAAAAGACTGTCCACAAAAACGGATGACCTCTCGCTTTTCTTCTGACAGAAATATGGGCCTTTCTCAGCAAATCACACTGAAAAAAATGGAAGTTGAGCGTAGAAAAGCTGACCGAAAAAGGGAACTCAGAGAATCCTCATCAACATATTGGACAAGAAGAGAAGCCAGTAGTGGAAGAGAAGAGAGATCTAGACCCCCAACTCCACTCATGGGAGAGCAAAACAGTTACAAAAGCAGAGCCTTTTCCTCTGCTTTCGTTAGAACCGAGATGCGTTTACTTTACCGTGAGAATGCGGAGTATAGTAAAAGAACAATATCCCATAATCGAGAGGATCTCAGGAATTGCCTTAACATATCCCAACGGTCAACCTCTCACCAAGCCTCAATCTCAAGGCACAGAGACTATGACTTGCACTCTTCTCGTCAAAAGAACTTCCAGCGACGGGAAGAACAGACGGAATCCTTGCAACTTCAGCCCTCAAACTCTCAGTTACAAACCCCAGTCAGAGAGGTACTGATGTGGGTCAAAGTTTTAACCCTTAAACATA